GCATCATTAAAATTTCGGTAGGTAATTAATTCCAACTCCGTACGTAACTGATCGTGGTGGTTATGCTAGGTTCGTGATGACTGAAGTATTTCGGTATATAAATTTTTAAGATAACTCAGCAATTTCATGTCAAAAAACCAATGCCGAAATACTTTAAACTAAACAAAATAGTTTTTAAATGATATGTATATTTTATGGCATTAATTTTGATTTTAGGTATTGACCATTAGTTGCGGCACAAATTTTAGCTCCGCATTCTAAAATTCAGATACTTTCTACATCATGTATACTTCATATCATCAAAAGTAGATTGTAAAATTATATATGCCGATATAGTGCAGTAGTGTGTTTTGTTTGATGTACTGTTGCGTTTCCGAATGTGAATAAATCATAAGCGCAGCACTTATGTACGCACGCACGTACGTAAATGATGTAAATGACACAAACCACCATTTTTAGAAAGGAATATAAAAGTCATCAATTGATCTAAAAATCAAGATACGTGCGTAGCTTCCTTTTATTTACACAAAATGGTGGAAGAATCAAACGAGAGAATAAACACCAATGAGCGAATAATTTTAAATGTTGGCGGTATAAAGGTAAAAATAAACATAATATGTAATTCGTTACGTTAATAGATACTATCATTATAATAAATATCATTGCGTAAATAAATATATATATAGTATGAAACATATCGGTCAACATTAACAGCACATCCCGAAACTCTTCTTGGAACAATGTTTCAAGAAAGAAATCAATCATTACTTCAACCGACGAATAATAATGAGTATTTCTTTGACCGGGATGGACATCTATTTAGATACATAATGCAATTCTATCGAACAGGAGAAATTTTCTGGCCAGACGAATCTTATTTCACAGACTCATCCCCTTTTTATGTATCTCGTCGAGAACTCGACCTAGAACTTGATTATTTTCAAATTCCATCTCCAGGTCGTGGAGAAATTGATAAATTTGGAGTAGTGACTTTGGTAGATAGTTTCTTAGTTGCTTTGGATACCCTAGTTAATCAAGTCGTTAAAAAGTATCATGTCCCAATAAATGTTAATTTCTCTCTTGGTTTGATTGAATGCGAAACGGATGATGATGTTAAAGATATTGCATTTGATATTTTATCACCATTCAAGTTGATCGGCTATAAGATTTTATCAAAGTTTAATAAGGAAGTTGCAGCATACATAAAGAACCAACATCCATGTTTGGATTCAAAAATATCACATAGATCAAATAAAGGGTATTTTGAGTTGAAAATGTCGATAAAGGATTTACTTGATTTGGATGAACAAGCTGTTTATAAGTATTCTAAACTCGCAAAAGTTGTGAACCCTTTAAAACTAGTTGATTGATAAAAATTTTTATGTTTTAGATAGCGAGGTATATTTTATTTTATTTATTCATGGAATTAACGTAATTAGATGCCTAGTGTGTTCATTTTTATAATTGCTGTAAAAGTAGTGTATACTCAAAAAAGAAAAAAATAACGCAGAAAATACATGTACAAATTTAGACATACAAAGGAGTTAGAACTTTTGTTAAGGTATTCCAATTTAAGAATGTGCGATTAAGAATAAATAAAATTAATGACAGCAACTATATAATATTTTTCTAATGAACCAGAATTGATTAAAATTTTAATTTAATGATTCTATCCCAAATGCTTAAACAAAAACTAATGCAAGCTAAACCATTACATCGAACTAAACCAATTTAATCTTATGCAAAGTTTAGTCTGAATATATAATCTCATTTTTCTAAAGGATATTCTTCTCCAAATATTTGTCATAAATTCAGTCCTCTAGACACTAACCATTCCATAGACCTATAAATTCGAATGTAAAACACCGATAGGATCCTTATCTATTCTTTCCAATTAGTACTACCTTTAATGTTCTCTCTTCTTATTCTTCAAATGTCGTCAATTACCTCACCTAGTGAATTGACTCGACAAAAAATTATTGTTCGATTATTCAAAAAATTTTTGCTTAATCAATCAAAATTAATTATGTAAACTTGATCGAATATGATCGATTAAGCACACAATTTATAAGTTCAAGTATATATAATCGATCATTCATTAGGTCAATAATTGATCGATAATATATTATCTACTAAAAACAAAAAGTTTAAAGTAAAATAATAATGTATTATATGAAGATTTTCTTGATCGATCAAAGTTCAACCATCTGATTAATCAAACACAATTGATCAATAACTGACCTATTTTTGATCGAGTCTACAAAATCATGCTCGACTATTGATTCAACTCGATCAAAAATCGATCATGATATAGTCGAGGCAATTCACTAGTTTTGCATTATAACAATAAGCAGAAACTGTACCTAATCCCGAGCAAATATCATTCACTCGTAATTTTGTGGATGAGGTTGTAGAAGAGAATTTTAAGCTTTTTATTTTGACTAAAATTCAAAAATCCGCCTTTGGTCATTGACGATGATTGTTTTAAGACGTGATGTATATAATCGTGGGTTCCATCTATATGTACAAAAGCATAATTGGTGCGTTTATAATCGCAGAAGTGGACGCGAATCTCACTTTAAATCTTATATCAGGATTGAAAATCGCCACGTACGTGATATTAGGACTAGAATTTGTTATAGAATTTTTGTTGGTTATATGAAGAAGATTTGGTGATATTTCCTTATAAATCCTATTTAGAAAATAAAGATTTCCGTATTACGGTTTCCTGAATGATAAATTCTTTAATGAAAGAAAAAGCTGTACATTCAAATCGTAAAATGCTCGACATACTGTTGCTCACTTATTAGTGTAGTAGGTTTCTTTAAGGTTATCCATTAACTAATAGTTCGAGAAAGAAGCCATCCAAATGCATTTTTGATGATGCATTTAAAATTTATAACGATAACCAGAAGTGAAACAATAAACCTTTGCCGGCATGACACCTAATTTATTAAATCTCAGCATAAACTCCCAAGTATTTTACATTCTATAGTAACTGATTGGTCAGGCCACACAAACTTACACCCGGATTTTTTAAAAAAATTTTAATAAAAAATTCATTCATAACACTGGTGTCATATGACACCTATATTAATGTATTGGTCTGAGTTAGAGTCGGAGTTTTAGGTTAAGGTAAATATATAGGATGTTATATAACAAGATGTTATTAATATAACTTTCCTAAAAAATTTTATTTAAAAATTTTATTGACACAACCCAGATACAGTAAAAAACTTTATATTTTAAAAATTTTGCGAATGGATTCGGTATTTTTATTGGGCATGAAAAGTGATCTATCTATTGTTTTACGTAGTATAAAATAAAATTAGCTGTTAGGGTACGTGGTGCGCGACGTAAACTTGGAATGTAGTTATGATAGCAAAAATACCGTTCCTGATGGATCGTCGGTACCGATCTTGATGGAGTTAAAAAAATTTATTTGAATACTGTTCCTGAACCATAATCCTACCATTTTTTATATTATTTGGGACGTCCCAAACCATGTGATAATTAGTATAGCGTTAGTTTCAGCTGCTTTTTTTCTTATTGCCGAAACTATGAGATACTAATTGACACATGGTTTGGGACGTCCCAAATAGTTTTGGTTACAACACTATTCATTATGATAGTATAGTATTTTGGAGAGGAACGGAATGTAAATTAATATTTGTTTCTTACCCTATCAGGAACATACCGACGAACCATCAGGAACGGTATTTTTGCCTAGACTTGTATTAAGGATCCAAGTGTAGTGACGAACTTTCTAATATTTTTAAAAATATTACCAAATTATCAATAACTTATATGTGTCGATTGGAGTTGACACCGAATAGAGTTGCAACTTCATTTCACTGACTGAAATTAACCCTGAATTTTAGACCAGTGTGACTTAACTTCAGTCAACTGACTTCATTCACGACAATTACAAGGTAAATTACAAATTCACTATATTTCTAAAGCGTAATGTTAATAAATGCGTGAATTAACATTTATGATTGAAGTGTTATAAGCGCATGATTCGTTGATCCGTAGTACGAAGTGGACAAAGCTTTAGGGTCAACACTCTAATAAAATCAAACAATAGTTTGCTACTATATGTTAATTTCACATACGAATTTGCATATGAATTCGCACTGATTTAGGTTCACTTTTCTGTTTAACATACAAAATTGCGTCGCATTTTTTTTTTTTAATTATAGTTCTAGATTAGCTCTATGCCGTAATAGAGCCAGTTTTGTAATAACTTTTAAAAAAAAATCTATTCTAATTTTTATGAAAAATTATTGCAAAAAATGGTTCTATTACAGTATAGAGCCAGTCTAGAATTATAGTTTAAAAAAAAAATGTGATGCAATTTTGTATGTTAAGGTAAAAAAGTGTACCTAAATCAGTGCTAATTCATATGTAAATTCGTATCTGGAATTAACCTTAAAAAATCCGAACATAATAATTAAACATATAAAGTCAAACCTCTCTATAATCACACCCTTGGTTTTAAGAATTTGATGCTTATAGAGAGTCTATGCCTATATAAAGGCTAAATTTTATAAGTGTTATATAAGTTGGTTTTAAAAAGTTATGTGATTATAAGAACATGTGGCTATAGAGGAGGTGACTATAGAGAGGTCTGACTGTAGTACGCTAACTATTGTTTGATTTATTAGAATGTAATCACCCTAACGAGGGTATATAGTGTGAGCCCGATTTTCGGGGTCACAGGTGACCGAATCGAAGCGACGATCTTGACCCGATCTAAGGTCACACGGA